CATATTTACCACCGGTTAAAGATGTATTGAGGGATTATCTTACATTAATCCGGTGTGTGAAGATTCTTTATAATGCCATTATTTTCTGCACATTTGCAATTTTAAAGTATTAGCAGCTAACAACAGGCATTGAGAATGACAACTAGACCACAACAGAAAGGAACATCTAAGAAGGCAAATCAAAAAGTAAAATGAATTTAAATGTAGAGAAATTGCAATAACAAAAATATACACTAGACATTCTTGCAACAAGCCAGCATTTAGGTTAAATAGCATAATCTTAGTTTATAAATCTGTTTTAACTATGACAAAAAGTCACTGTTATTTCATTGCAGAACAGCAAATTAACATTAAAATATAGGAAACATGAGTCCATCATTAAACAATAGAGCTTGGAATGGAAACATCCCACATCACCAAAAATGAAAACAACTTAAATCCCAGGCTTCTGCAAGAACAATGCCAAATTTGGTTCAAGGCCACAACAGTTCAACACCAAACATTATAATAAATGAGATGCAACAATATAATGAAAACCCTTTCAACATTTCAAGGGTATACACTTTTCCTCTTAAAAAATGAGAGTTGCACACAACCTTCAATACATAGGGGCCACTTTAAGCTCTTTAGAAGCAAAACTGAAGGAGCATAATTAAAACATTCAGAAATCCATCCCAGTTATGACCCTTGCCATCTATGCTTTTTTTGATTCAGTCAATATAAACTGGCAACAAATCAAAATTAAAAACATTATATTTTCCTCTTTTACATTGTTTATTTTATCTCTTGAATTGTTTGTTTATTTTATCTTGCACTTATGTGTCTAAACATAGTCTTTGCCTATTTGAATATGGGAGTTGGAACACTTAAATTTGTAATCAGAGTCCTTTTGGTGTTTTAAGTTTTTTAATTTAAATTAACTGGCATTCACTGTTTCAATGCTTTTATATTCTATTCTATTGTTTTGTTTGATTATGTATTTTACCTAAAGATGCTCTTAAAAAAGATCAAAAACTTGCAATTAAATTGTTTTGCAGCAAACAAAGGTTTTGTTTTTGAATATCTACAGTTGCAGTTTCTATATGCTAATATAATGAAATATTGCAATCAAATTTCAAATCAGCAATTTGTAACAGGCATATGTTTGGTTCCAAAGGGAGTTCTTTTGCTGCATTACGATGTGCATCCTCCATTGAAAAAAAATAGCTAAACTTAATTTCTCCACAGAACCTCCATAGAATCCGGCTTCTCTCTTTCAGATCAGATCTTTGTATGTTTAAACTGATAAAAGAAGCTTTTGGGGACAAATGTTGCCAGCAATAATGAAGTTAAGGACATGGTGCACATGGCTTTGATCATAACCAAAACATTCTTTGAAGATGGGATTAGAAGCATCAAAAAAATTGAAAAAGTAGTTAAACTGATACACTGACATTGGAAGATGTCAGTGTATCAGTTTTTCAGCACATGAAAAATTTTAATCAAAACAAATGTTTTTGATCTTACTTGAAAGTTCTGTTGGAGACAAGACAAATTTAACAGTAAAGAAACACTGTATAGTGACACTGTCTAGTTACCAAAACAATCCTCAGCATATAGTGGACCTTACCTGCTCTCACACTTATGTATGAATAACTTATCATATTTCAGTTAAAATAAATTAGTATTTCCATATTAAATATTATAATTGTTTATATCTGCATATTTTCATAAGAACTGTATAGTTAATCAATTATTCCAGGCTAAGGTAATAATTTTTTTTTTTATTGAAATAAAAAAGTATTATGTAAAATTCACTACAGCCTTTCTATGGAGAGAGGCAATTCAAATTTTCTGATTTCTCCTCGTTCTTCTAATTTTTAAATGATGCATATCATAATCAGATTATCTTATCATTTATTTTCACAATACTAGGGTCATACTGAAAGTCATGAACAATAACTTTTTATAAATCAGACTAATTTATTTTTGGAAAAACAAATACTACATCACATTATTTTCAGACTTTTCTTTATTTTTCCATTTAGTCTCCATTTTTGGATTCATTTTTCCCACTGTTGTCAAAACTTGAAAATTCCTTTATAATAGAACTTTCTTCCAACAATGCAAAAAACTGATGTACCGCTTTCTTCATGTCTTCCATTGTTTCATAGCATTGGCCTCATGTTTTCATTTGCATCACCAAAAACATGATTATCAGAAGATGCTAAATTGGGGATGTAGGCAGGATGCAGAAGAACTCTCCACCTCATTTTCCTCCAAATTTCCTCTATGGTATAACAAGCAGCATGGGACCTTGCATTGTCATGCTGCATGATCATCTTCCCAGGACATTTATTACACAATGTACAACAGAGTTTACAAAGTGTCACAACATACCAAGCAGCATTAATAGTTTGCCCAGGTTCAAGAAATTCCATCAGAATCATTCATGGACCCTTGAATACTGCTCAATTGCTTTGCCTTATCTTGACAGTTGTATTCAATAATACTGACTGCAAAAATGTATTAGAAGTAAAAAAAATATGGAAATATGTTGATGACTTTCAAAGAGACTTCAAAATATTGATGTAATTTATATAAGAACCAACAATAACACTTGAATAGTGTGTCCTATGAATTATACTATCTATCACTGGCATAACTAGGAAGGGTCCAGGGGCTCTCTCTCTGTGTAATAAAAAGTTTGTAAGAATGCTAAATATAGAAAAATGTAATTGTAGAGTTAGAGTTAATTACTGGCTTGGATTATAACAAACATGACTTATATAAATTATTATTGTACATATCAATTTTAAAAATGAAATATTATTAAAATGTGTAGTAATTCATATTGAATTTTATTTTAATATGATTGGTCCAGATTAACTATATATACAGACTTAAGTCTGGACTGGGAGTTATGTAATTTCCATTCAAAATTTTCTCCGGAATGGTGTTAGATAGATGACTGGCATGACTTCATTGTGATCAGGAGAAATATGATATTTAAAAGAAATGTACTATTACAATTGAGAACCGACAAGGAAAGCTTAAGAGCAGAGACCTTGATTAACAATATATGAATTTCAGGTCTGAATCAGAAGTTGTGCCATTTTTTTTTTTAAATTAAAATATGATTAAAAATTGAAGCCCAGTATTGTGACAATATCACAATAAATAACTGCTTGTTTATTTTTTGATTTGTCTTTGTATCTCAGTAAACTCAGATAATCTATTTATTTGTCCATCTGATGCACAAATGAATTCAAATTGACTGATATACTGTGAAACTATATATTAAACAATTTATTATAGATTAATTAATCACAAAAAATATCATTCTAAATCATTTTCTGTTAATCTTGGTACCTACTCACAGATTATTCACATAGCACCAATGAATATAGATGTGTATCCTAAAAATCTACACAAATTTCTATAGCCTATTTCGATAATTTTAAATAATTGCACATTCACATGAAACAGTATAATTCTTTCTAGAATGTTCTTAATTCCATTTATTGAAAAAGCATTAAATGAATTTGATCAAAGAAATGTAATTGGCAAACTTTTATACTGAAAATTGATGAAAGTGAATATGCTGGTAACTATTTCACTAAAGGGCTAGATGTGGATCCTTCAAACAACATTCCAAGTTTTCATCAAAGCTTCTGGTTCTGATAATCATTCCAAAAGAAAATTCATAGGCCTTCATTGCCTTGTCACAGTTCTCCATCACCAAAGAAGTGTATGGTAACAAATGCATTCAGAAGAGGCTGGTATGTTTCTTAAAGAAATACTACCCTCACCAAGGATATGACTTCTGGCCAGACATGGTCACTGCCCATTATGCTCACAACACAGTTGCCAAGTTGGACCATTACAGAATTTGATACATCTCCTGCGAAGCCAAAGTTCTGTCACTGAGACACCAATTGAAGCAAAATGTTTATGAAAATAGTTTGATAGCTGCATCTACAAAGGAATTGGACAGGATTGATGCAGAACTTTGCCACTTCAAAGCTGACTACTTCTGGAGGTTAATGGAAAAGGCTAAGACTAAAATTCAAATTATAGCTGATTGCAGTTATGATCTTTTCATCTGAATGTTAAACAACTTATCCATATCAAAAAACCTTACTTTAAAATAAATAATTTTAAACAACTTTGAAATTTGTGCAAATTTTTAGAAGTAGCATCCTTTATTACATTTAAATGAAATATTCTGATTTCTTGATTATTCTTTGAAAAGTAAATTAAATAGTAAACAAAATTAGATAAAGAATAGATATAATTTTATGAATTTAATAAAAGCATTAATTTTTTTAAATAAAACAACTTTTAACTGTAAAAATAAAGCAACGAAACATAAAATTCAACACTTTTGGCCATCTTTGTCCTTAGATTTCTACTGAAATAACTTCCTCTTTTAATCTTAATAATTTTTGCTTTGTATTTATCAATTCCTGTAATTTTTAATTGTTAATCTAAAAATGTTAATTTTGTTCCATATTACTTATATACAATTTTACATTTCTTCACACTTACAGTACATCACTCATTTTATTTTAGAACTTGACAACAGATTGAAGACTGCCATAAATTGATGAATTTTTAAAGGTTCTTTACTTTATAGCTATTACTTCATACTACTGTAAAACTGTTTTCTTGAAAGTTCATTAATATAGGTTTTTAAATTGAAGAACAATCAATACTTTGATAATTTTGATTAAATTTTCAGATTTTTCTGAATTATTTTCTAAAAAATCATTCTTTGAAAAATATTACTGTTTGTAATACATTAAGTTCATTTTATTATTGTGTTACAATAAAAATTTTACTTTTTTACACATCAAAAAATAGTAAAATCCACATTATACAACGAAGATAGTAAATTATACATTCTCTAAGAAAATTAAATTTAATAAAAATCATATTTCATATTTTATTATTTTTCTTTCCATAAAATATAAATTCCCTATATTTTTAATATACAATAATATAGAAAATATCTTGCATGATATTTATTTAGATGAAATGGTTTCGATAAATCTGCAAACGAAACAAAGAACATATTTTTATTTTTGAGTAAATTTCTAATATCACACAAGCTATATTTAACATATTTATTGACTAATATAGTTTACTGTTATATTTTATTTTAATTAAAGTAAATAATTAGCTATTACTAATTTGATTTATAAATTTTATATTTTAGCATAATTCATTAAAACAATTGTGTATCAGTATTTTCAAAATATGTTAGTTGTCCATTTTTTGTTACAAAACATGGATAGATTTATTAAGTTTGTAGCAAAATATACAAATTTTAACAGTGTTTCTTTATAGAACAGCAAACATAAAATACTTTGTTGGTTATTTATGCTGTAAATTAGATTAATAACTTATTAAATTAATAATCCTGTATGAGTCACACAAGCATCTCACAAGTGCCACGGCACATAATCTTTGACATTTCTAATATTTTAAATTTTGTATGAAAAGATTTTCTACCTTCCTAACTTGTCAACCCAGATGACATACACTTGATACTATTTTTACTGAACAAATACTTTAAGGAAAAAAATGCTGGAATCTGAGGTTTGTATCATTCCTTACAGTGAAATGAGTAAGTAATTTATTATTAAATATTTCTTGAGAAACTAACAGAAACTATTATATAAACCAGTCATGAGCAACCCATAGCCCCCAAGCCACATGCAGCCCACAAGGATTCATTCAAATATGATATCACCTATTTTAAGTTTTTTTTTTGACCACCTTACCCCTATCTACTGTATCACATTTGTCACTAATTTTTAGACTTCCCCACACTGATGTTACCTGACATTAAAATCAAGAATTTCTGTAAAACAGATCTACAATACATTTTTTTATTCATATTTCCTGCCAATGCAAGGCTAATTTTAAAAATAGGCAATAAGAAAAAATAAGAAATTCATCAAATTACCACAGAAAAAGTCATCAGACTCTTGTCTGATGATATTGTACTAAATAATTTCTAAACTAAAGAAAGATATGTTACATACTGGTATATCTTTTAGTGCTATCTTTATCTGTAATACATCTCTGTAAAGATTAAATTACTGCCATTATCCTTTCACATTAAAAGTTCTACTAGAGTGCTTCTAACAGAGCATAATTAGTGAAGTATTTCTACTAAAATGAAATAAGCAAGAATTTGCTGTGTGATCATTGATCAAAATACTTCTCCATAATGATTTTGATAAAAAATTATTTCAAATAGGAAAACTTTTGGGCACTATCAATAAAGGATAATGATTAGGTATGATGACAGGTATGCAACTCTATTTTCAAGATTTTTGGAGATATATATCCCAAAGGCAAGACTATTCACACCACTTATAAAGTTCAAGAGCTATTTTTGGTAACACATTGTGACCTTGTCACAGGATTACTCAAACAACCTGTTCCTTTCATTAATATACTGGTGCCTGCTATTGTGCATTTTTACAGCCTAGAAAAGTTTCCAGAAGCAAGTAGCTGTAACTAGTGGTTATGAATTATGTTGGCCTAGTTTGCAACTCTAACGAGAAAAAAATCCACAACGAGTTTCTTAACTTTCCTGGAAACATTTAAAACTGCATATGGCACCACCCATTATGATATTTTATTTAAAAACTTTTTATATTTTTAATTATTATAAAATGGCAAAAAGCTTAATTTTGAGGGTATGGTTGAGTTTTATAAAAAATTATAAATGCTAATAATGAATAAAATCATCATTAAGTCTGACCCTACTTGAGATGTGACATATGACCCCCTTCTATTCCCCACTCCTCAACATTTAATTATGAAAATTTAATAGCATTAATCCCTTGCAATAAAACACAAACCTTGCCAAATTTCAGAAATTTTCAACAAAAAGCACAGAAGTTAAGATTCAAAGAGGGTGAACAAAGTCATGTCCCCTCACACAAACACACAGAGAAACCCCTGAATTTTTTTTGCATTTCTTGACCTTTCAAGGTCCAGACTATAAAAATGTAAAAATTTTGGGAGGTCATTTTTTGACTAATTGCCATATTTTTTCTCTGTTATATATAACAAAGCCAGATACGTGGTCCATCAGAAGTCCGTGATATTCCCCTTGTGGCCTGCATCTAGAAAAGGTTGCTCATCACTGATATAAACAATCCTACCAGAGAAAATAAAAAATGAATAAATAATGAAATTTACTGCAAATTTCAGTATAATGTATATATAGATTGCCTAAAAAGAAACAACTTTTACTCTAGAAATATAACTAGATGGTGCAACTAGTATTAATGGTCAAATTCAAAATTTTGAACATTATATTATCAATTGCATGCAATAGCATTTGAATCAATTCATAACAATCCTTTGTGGCATGAAATGTAAGGGTTATTTTATGACACTCATCAGAAGATTGCAATGGACAACATGTCAACATTAAGTTCTGAGTAAAACTAAAGAAAACTTTTACCAAAACATTTAAGTTACTGAAACAAGTATATGGGAATGATTGCCTGTGCCGAAAACAAGTTGATGACTGGCTTAGTCAATTCAAAGATGGCCGAGAGGCAATTAAAACTGATTCAAAAAGTGGTCATCCAAAGACATCAACTATGGACAGTAACATTGATAAAGTGCAACAAATATTAAGAAAGGATCCACACGTGATCAGTGTAATGTTGTCAGAGGAGTTGGGAGTTAAAAGACTCTGTCTGTATAATTTTATGTAATCATTTGAACAAATATAAGGTCTGCTTCCACTTTAGTTTATGCAAAAGCACTAAGTGTTAAATTTGTGTCAATACAAAACACTAAAAAAAACCACAATGAAAACAAAAAATTATTTAAATACAAAAAAAAAATAGCAATTTATATACAGTAGAACCTCGATTATCCACCCCTCCGATCAACCGACCCCCCCGATCAACCGACCGTCCTAGTCGGCAAATTTCAAATGTCCGCTAGTGATGTGGCGCTACAATAGCGACGATTATTATTTTAAAAAATTTTTGTTAGGCTTAACATCGATGAAAATTCAATGCAAAATAGGTTAATAGCGATATACTAATATACTAATATACTAATTACATGGGATATAATAATATACTACACTAATAATGGATTTTTTCATACTTTTCGGTTATCTGACTTTTCAATTATCCGACCAACCCCAGTCCCCAATTAGGGCAGATAATCGAGGTTCTACTGTAATTATCAAAGCAGTACTAGGTAAAATATCTGGCAAACTTGAGATTAAAAGTGATCTGGATTTCTGAACATGGACTAAAAATATACTTAAAATTTAAAATAAACAATGGAAAGTACTTACATAACTAAATTGTATTTAACACACCACAGGCCAACACCTCACATTAGAACTGGTAAATTGTGATATGTATGTCAAAGAAACCAAAAACATCAGCTGTGTGAAAAACTACATCTATACTGTAAGCCCACCAAATTCAAAATTAGCAGTTTACTGGTAATTCTGAGTTTCTGGAAGTTGTATATTTGGCATAATACTGTATGATGTGAAAGAAGCAACTATACGAAACATAATAAAACATATGTATGATACTACACATTCTTTTAATATGTATGGTTTGAAAAAAACAATATATATACATTAAAAACACATTATAAATATTACACATATTTGTTAAAAATTTAGTAAATAAAATATTCTATTGAATGCATGAAAATCCTAAGAATGAAAATACAATATACTACAGAGTCCTCAAACTTTTTTGTCTGTCAACTCCAAGGATTTCTTGACCTTTTATTAACCCTTTTTTTTTTACATTTATATTTAACCTTTAATATGTTTATTCTATTTTATTTGTATTTTTATGAATTTTATAATTCTCTCAATTACTTTACATATATAGAAATTTTAATAGCAAAAGTTAAAAAGATACAACATGTATGTAGCTAATTATTTTTGAATTATCTATATATATAAAAATGTGTGTGTGTGTGTGTGTGTGTGTCCTTCATGCATTACCACACCGTTTATTCGATTGACGTGAAACTTTGAGAAGTTGTTTAATATACTCCCGTGAAGGTTTGTGGCATAGTACAATTGCCATGAAGCTTTGGGAAGTTTTTTTTAATACACTCCCGCAAAGGTTTCTGGCATTTACCCTACAACAGATGGCGCGCGTTTACAAGAGCATTCGAGCACAGTGTGTTCGATCGATTTCAAATTGTGAAGACCATTTCCCCCTCCAAAAAGTATCTATATATATGCATTTATTATTTACGATATTTGTTAAAATTTTTGTTTAATCACTTTATTTCAACTTTTTTTTTGCTAATTACGTAATCGCTCAAACTATGTTAAAGCCTTAACTGTATCATGAACAACAACCGAAGTTGTAGAAGGAAATTCGCCTATTTTACCGATCTAGGGATCCCCCTTTTCCAAATTTTAATATCAACTCAAAATAATTTAAAAAGACAAATTACAATAAAACGGTTTATTATCCAACTAAGAGAAATTTCACAACACGCCAAGGAAGAGAGGAAGGAGCAATTAAATAATCAAAATTATGAAGGATTAAAAATATATATATAAAAATGGGGAATATCGCACTTCTAGCAATCTCTGCGAGTATGTGGGCTAAATTTAAAGAATCCGTGCTTCTCGCTTGGACAACTATATGTGGCCAACTAACGCGTCGGAAAACCTTTTGATTTATTCGTGTACGCACCAGATGGAAAAACAAAAAATATTGTGTATCCACAAAGCACTCAAATAAATAAATAAAATTGAAATGACACTTTGAAATGTTTTCCCGATGAAAATGAATAATAATAATAAGTTTCAATGAAAATGATAAAATGTAAATTTAATTTTATCATAATGAGTTTGCTTGAATTTCCTTTCTTCTGAGATTGCAGCAATGCGCGACAGGTAAGCTAGTTAACTATAAAATTCACAAATATGTACAGTACATCTGTTAACAGAAGAGAGCAGTTGACGACAATATATTCATTTACTACCATTTTGATTTCTTTCTTCTATTCTTCCTTTTCATAGTTTGGCAGTTGAAATTTGAGAAATGCTGGCATCCAAGTTGGATGGAATTTTTTATGGCTTTTTGAACATATTTGAACAGTATGAGAAATGTTTCTCTTCTATTAATTTGTCTGTACATCATTTATAATGTGCATTTTTTTCAAATAATCTCTTCTGCTAGCAAATTCTGACATATTTCCATTTACAAAATGTATAATTTGCAAGCTTATGCCAACTATGAAATAGAAACCTTTTTGTCACCTTTGAGAATTCCTAGTGCAATTGTATGTAGCTGTCATATGATCTAGAACATCATTTCTCAAAGTGGACAATAACACCCCCTTGTGGGCACTGGAGACTTTCAGGGGGCAGTAGAAGGCTCAGTGATTTAAATATGAGTTTTATTTCTTCTCATTGAAACATTCTTTGATCTCAGAAATAGAATATGGGTCACACTCTATCTATCCTATACATATAATAATGCATGCTTAAACATTATATTTGCAATAACTGTTTTAAGATATGCAACAGATGGTAATGTAAAAAAGGTAAGTTAAAAAATATGGGGGCACTGGATTTTTTTTAATCTTAAAGTGGGTGGTGGTTGAAATAAGTTTGAGAACCTGTAATCTAGAATATCAACTCTCTCTTTAGAATAGAAAGTAATAATCTCAGGTTTTTATGAAGACTGCATTTCTTCAACAATAGTAGAAATATGGCACCTAGATGATAACAGTAGCATTTTTTTTTTTTTCCTTCTTAGGAACATATGATACTAGGGTGAAATGTTTTTGAAAAGCATATATGCTACTAAAAACTTTTTCCTTTTCCAATATCTACAAATCTTGTCAGTAACTCTTGTCCATTTTTCTAATTGTTCCCACAATTGTCAGTTTATCATTTTAAAATAGATCCATAGCTAATTTATTATTCATAAACCATTTGTCCATTATGTTTCTGCTGGATCGAGCTGTATCTCTCGTCAAGCATTTCACCACTTCAGGCAAATTCAAAATGAAATATGGGACATTGTGTTGTTTCTCACAATAAATTTCCAAGTTGAGCATGTGGTATATATGGGAATCAACTAACAAAAATTTTGATGCCATATTTATTTGGCTTACACAGCATGTACTGATAAAAGTTGCATTTCTCACTAAATAACTCCAACATTTAATTTACTGTAAAGAATTCAGATATTACTACTACTGATTTACTTAGTCACCTTAACCAGAAAAGCAAAATCTACAGTATAATAGACTCTTAAAATTAATTTGTAAACAAAGAAATTTTACTATAGTGCAATGTATGAAGAATTTTCACAACTTTCAATGGCACTCTTAGTGAGCATAGACAAAGAAAAAGCTGTTGAGCAAGCTCATAATTGAAATTTAACATTGACAGATAACTCATAAATTATTTGCAGAAAATTGCAATACTTGGATTCATTAATGATTTTTTAAAATATTTCAAATAAAAATAAAGAAAATGAAATAGAGAATACACACTTTTAAAATTCAATAAACTAGATTAGACTGTGATTTGTTACATTTTTTTTTAATAAAAGAAAATCTAATAAATTATAACTTAAAAATATAAAATGTTATTTACTTTTTAATTATGATTCATTTTATATTTAATTTTTAATAACTGCACATTAAATACGTGTTTAATTGTAAATAAAAACTTAATAGTGAAAATTCTTGAAATATTTAATCTAGTACAATTCAATTAATTTTCATAATAATAAAGTTTTCTTTCATGTAAATTTCATGCATAAAATCAGAAAAAACAAGTTAAAATATAATGCCTGTTAGTCATGTTATTCACAAAATAAATTTAGCTTGAACTAGGGTTGTCAAATAATAGGAGTTTTCTAATAACCAGTTAGTCTATAAGCTTTCTTCCAAATAAGCAGTTAACCAATGCATTTCTTTCTTGATAGCAATAGTTTAAGTAAACAAGTGCACCTAAAAGCTCAGGAATGATTGTATTTCTAATTTTTGTTTGTATAAAAGAACAGGTAGAAAAAACTTTTTCAGTAGTAGTGGAAGTTGACTTTATTGTTACTACTTTTGCAATTGAATTTACAGCTGACTTAGAAATTTAGATTAGGATATTATTTTGATATTGGTCAGTTTAGGTAATTAATTGTAAAAATTCCTCTTTGTTTTAATTTTATTTTACAATTTAGTGCTACTATTCTAGCACTTTTTATCATTCATCAGCCTCTATTGTTTGAGTCCAATTTTGTACAAATTCTTGATTAACTATTTATGATCTCCCTTTGTAAGATCTCAATAACAGAACTAGTTATGTATTTGTATTTAAGAGAAAAGGAGGAGAGAACATTAAGTGTGATAGAAAATTTAAATGGATGCATTGTGCAATGTGGCCAAAAAATCTTTTGCCAAATAGGGAGAGAGGATATATTGAAAATTACAGATAAAAGACAATGTAAATGACTTTAATGCAGTATATAATGCAAGTTAATACTAGTATGGAGTGATGTACACCACAATACTCATCAATGCTTATGTTTAAAGTATTGGCAGCAATGCAAGACTTCACATCTCCATCACAAGTCACATGTATGATGTTCTGAAGAACAGTACTAATTCTGGTCCATCAACTCATGAAAACAATAAGAAAGTGATTATACCCATTTGGCAAGTGATTTTTTGGCCATACTGTATTTAATTTACCAAAAGGAATAACTTCCTTTATAAGTCTTAATTTAAACTTACATTGTGGATGGTTTTGGTGAACATGCTTGACGAACACTCATTTCCTAGCAGACAATATAAAGTATAAATAAATATTTTTAAATTTATAAAAAACAAATTAATTATAAATACTATCAATATTTATATGTAATATATATAAGCAATAACATATAAATAATAAAATATTTCTTTCAAAGAATTTAGACAATTGCTTTTCAAGTGCGACAGTCAGATGCAAACATATCAAAAATTATTTATTTATTAAATTTAAATATCATAAAATTAATTTATATTCAATAAAATGTGTGTCACTTTATTAAATATAAATTTATTTTTAATGTTAAAATTTAATAAATAGAAATTTTATAAAAGTGAGATTCAACTGTACAAGACAGTTGTTCATCTGGAGTGCCCAAAATTTTAATAAATATGCTTGAAAATTAAAAAACAAGAAAATATGAAAGTTTTCTCTCATTAAATCACATTTTATATTTTAAGAATTTTTTAAGAAAGTAAAAAATTTTTTGTGGGAAATCAAAGGTGAACTTTTGAAAGAGATTGTTCCACTCATAGATCCAAAAACAAAATATTTCAAAATATGATTTTTGGTAATGATAAATGCTGAATTAAGTTATTCAAGAGGTACTAATCAGAAAAACTGATTAAGAGTACTGATGTAAAATTGATAATTTGAGAGTTTTAAATGCATTCAAAACAAGTGATGTGTTATTAAAGAATGATGATGAAAAGTATAATTTATTACTTAATTATAATCAGACATGATGATTAAGTTTTCATGCTTGTGCTCAGTCCTTTATAAACAATATGAACATGTTTTGCACATTGGAACCTAACCAAAACAAAAAATTTAATAGAAAAACCGCAAAAGAAAAATGTTGCGTATGGTTTAATACTATTTTGAGAGAGTTAAAGAATTACAAAAGTAGATAAATATTTCTCAAAACAATGCTAAAAAGCATCTGCTTTTCACTTTAGTAGAGACTGCTAAAAGCTCATAAAACACAAAATGGTATTACATCTACTACTTCCAGAGCTGATGCAGATTATCCCAGAGTAAAATTTTATATCTAACGAAAATTCACATATACACCATCAATTCCTTTGACTTTTTTACTCTTGCAGACATGGTCTACAGCTCTGATAAGGTCCAAACTGTCTCAATCACAGCTGCATTTGTATCTTTTCAATATTTACAATATTTATGCCAGGTAAACTAATGTTACTAGATATTTCCATAAATAATCTCATCTTTAATATTATTAAGTGTACTTTTAGCAACACAATTTCAGGAGATAACTTTCAGTACCAAAAATAACAAGGGACTCAAACAATTCATACAACAGAATGACTAAGTTGGGAAACTATGTTAAAATTTATTTTGATTGGTGTAAAATATAATCAATTTCAAAATGTTTTAGTCCTGTGGAAAAGTCAAAAATAGACTTCCATAAGTTAAATTCAATACCAAGCTTATTAGAGTTGGTAAATCTGAAAAATCAAAAGTAATGAAGATAAAAAGAATAAAAATATCAAATTTTTGGATGCAATAATAAAAAACTGATAAATATTAAGATACTTCTAATAATTTAATTTTTATTTGAAATTTGTGACCTGAAGCAGTTCTTAGAAGACTAAAAACTTCATTTTTCTGAACTTGCACCATTCTGCTGAGTGAATACCAAGATAGGGAGTTTCTGCACTATAATATAAGCCAGTTCCTGGAGTATTTTTATTAATAAATAAATTTCTGAAATTACATTTGTTTTGCTGTCCTTCACTTTCCACAATTAAGATCAAGGTTAATTTATGGAAATATCCAGTAATAAGGTGTTTAATTTTGGTAATAAATACAGGGTTTTCCAAAAAAAACGCTGCCATTACAAATTATTGTAATTATGTTAATATGTTATTATCCAAGAACATTGTAATGCACATTAAAACATTGGAAACTGTCCAAGTTTCACATTTGCCCATTACAATATCTCAACATATGCACCTTGTGTGACATGGCACATATCCAACTGATACTCAAATTCTCCCTGCACTTGCTATAGAATTGTCACTCCTTCCACAGCAGTCACAATTCTACAGCTCCTGTAGATTATTCATCTTGCTCAATGATGAGTGATTCCAACTTTTCAAACTGCAGAATACAAAGTGTCTTCTCTATTGAGGAGCTGCCATTTTTGTTTATGGCGCCTCCTAAAGACAACAGATCACAAGACAGAATGCAGATGGGAAATGAAACTCAGCTGGTTATTGTAATTTAAAATGATAGCAAATGTTGCTATCATTTTAAATTACAATAATTTAAAATGATAGCAACATTTTGGAAGACCCTGTAGAATTAAATAAACTTAACATTTAATAATTTTTACAATTTAAATTTAATATTTAATATTAACTACACTTTTACAAGTTGTAATAAAAGTTAAAGTAATATTAATAAAAACTAACACTAACATTTTTCACATACCCACGCATCCAGTAATGATGTTACAGAAAATTTCCCAGGCATATTGCTCAATTGAGAAGATAACACTTTCTGTATGCATTGAAGGAATGGAGTAGAATCTTTAAAAATTTTAAATTAAATTAGACTTTATTATTATTTTAATATTAAAATATATAAATATGTAAATAGTAACCATATTCTTCTTTGGTTGTGTTGCAGTGAGGAGGTTTCTCTGGATAATTTTCAGGCACAGCAATTGTAATTGGAGGTACACAAGGAAGATTTTTATCATCTGAAATATAAATGAATTTAAATTGTAAAAATTATTTTAAAAAAAAGCTATAAATTTTATTTTTGTGAAATAACACTTAAAAAACAAATTTTATTTAATAGCATCAAAACTCATAAGTTCAATTAGCAATTAAAATCTCAACAAAAAAAAACAATAATAATATAATGATTTACTTTAAATTATGAAATTAATTTTTTCATGAGTTAAAATTAATCAAACTCTAATTTATTAGTTTAAATAATATAAAAATTGAATAAACTACATAAAGTTCTATAAAACTGCATGTAAATAGTAAATTTTAAACTACTAGGAAACAAAATTGAATATAAAATTATGAAATAAAACCAAAACCTGTTTTCACAGAGACTTGCTGTTTAACTAATTTTCAAATTCACTTGAATTTTGAAAATTTTTTTTGAGTAATTTGAGTTAATAATCTAATAATGTTGTATTTATTATCATTTTTATGATAATTATTTTGAAAATTGATATTAGATCTAACCCAAAGTTCTGTAAATGCAGAAATATTCCAGATTCTACAAAATAATTCTTTTAAATTTAATAAACAAGTTTATTTTTGCCTTCTAAAAGTAAGAACTTTTGAGAATTCTCTTATACATAACTCAAAAACAAAATATTTTCTACAGATGCTTCTAAATTTTTAAAAATCAATTTAAAACTGAAATTTGAAATAGCTATTCAAAGATTATCTCAGCTGTCTTTAAGATTATTTAGCAACTAAATTAGTAATAAGGATTCTTTAATAACAATTAATATACAGTACAAAATTGATTAAAGATTTCCTTGCATTAATAGAATACTAGCTGTTTTAATGTCAAAGTAATAACATTAAAACAGCTGGTAAAGTCTGTAAACAAATGTTTAAAATTTGGAATTTGAGTCAGTCTTTAAAAACAGAATGCAAAACTAAAAACAGTTTTAAAAATGCTTTGTTCTTGAATTAAGAGCTTCTGAAAATAAAAGAATTCTCAAAAATACTTAATGAAGTATATTTCACTATAAACCTATTGTCTGGCATTGATAATATGTACACAGAGCAATAAATTTATATTGTGATTTATTTGTAATCTGGTGTGACTATTCTTTTTCATCTCATAGTAGCAATGCTGGCTAATACTTAATGAAAACATTTATTTGTCTCCTAAAAGAAAGCCCAAACAAATTACAGTAGCTCTTGGTAGTGTTCTCAAACCACCAGCAAATACTCATAAATGATGATCTCCATAAATCTAAACACAGTAAAACCACAATTTAACAGACAAAATTTCCAGTTTATGTATCATATGTGAAACTTAACACACTGTTCATTTAAAAATGCTTTTTATATATAATTAAATTAACAGTTTTCTCCCCCAATCCAAGAGTTGCCACTCTTAAAAACGTTACTTATTTGTTTAGTTAAATACAATTAAAGTGTATTTTCCTAAAAATGTTTGTTTATTTTGATTTAGATCTTATGTTTATTACAGTCTCAAATCTACAGCAAGCAATAATACATTTAGAAAACTTTCCTTAAAAGTAAACTTTCCATACACACTTGATTTTAATTACACAATTATATCTACAGTAAAACCTGTCTATGGCGACCACCCATGGTTCCTTCAAAAAGTGGTCATCCAATATAGGTGGTGCTGTAATACCATATTTCTCTACGTATTTTGTACACTTTTTAGCCATTTCTACTAAGCAAAACTCGAGGTGAGCAAAAATAAACAAATTTTTTCAACGCTAGGGTATTGGTATTGTATTTTATTCTTATCGGATTACTCTATTTACAGAAGTCATCGTGATTTTATAAGACAGATTTAATACCAATATTTTAAAGATTAATACAATAGTCTCATTTTCTCGATTATAATGCACACTTTCTTTTTTCTGACTTAATTAATTCAACTTGATTGTTTTCGTTCGCTCCTCAGTTATGTGTATGTTATGTCATCGATATACAAGCACGTCGTATCTCTACATCACTTTGGTTTTGGTATTCGTTAGTTTAATCTTATTTTAACTTTAAAAATACTGTATTTTTTAATATTTAATATTTTCTTAAGTACAATAAGAAAAATTATTAATTAATAATAAAATAATTTTATTATTTTTTCTCATTATACGATTCCATTACATTCTGCGATTGTCATTGCGGAATCAAAAAAGGAAGGTTGCCTGTAAAACTGATTTTTGCATTAATGCATTTATTGTTTTATGAATATTTTGCGTGTGAAAATTATTTGGATATTATTTTTCTAAAAATATCGTGGAAATAAGGTAGGTTGATACAGAAACTATTTATCGCACATGTACTGTATATGAGCTTCAAAATTAATAAATAAATAAATATAAATAAATTTTATCAAACGATGAGATCAGCCAATTAATTGTATTGTATACAATATTTTATACCCCCAAGGAAAATACTGTTGGTCTACGGTAAAATCAGTTTCATTTTCCTACAGTTAAACTTTGCCACTAATTGCTGTTGTGATAACTTTAACTCGATCTTCTAACGACAGCGCTTTGCATTTCTTTCCTTTTTAGGACAATTTTGAACAAACTGAAATGAATTTCCTTTGTTTCTAGATTAATTCATTAACACCTGCATTTGGTGTTAATGAATTTCAAGGGTGGGAGCAGTATCCCAGGTGGGTTCGAACAAGAGTTTAGACCAGATATATTTGCGGAAGTGATCACTTATTACAGTCGTTGTATGTTGTTTCGGACCAAAAATCAATGCCCGCGGTCACGTTACACAGGTAACTTATACGAAGACTCTACGGATAAACTATTCAGTGCCAGAAATTTTTGCCCATTTTGACAGGTGCCTGTCGAATGCAGGTGGTCACCTAAGCAGTTTTCACCGTATATACATAAAAACAGATAAACTAATTAATTTTTCAACTTTTTAACATACATGTTCAGAATCCTATTTTATTATATAACTATAAATTTTCCTGTCAAGCATGACAGAATACAGTAGAGCGTCGATTTTCCGAATCAATTGGGGACTGGGGTTGTCCGGATAACTGATTTACATACGAAAAAATAGTTTAACGTATCTGATGTCGAAATTTTTATCCATTGCGTGTCGCTTCGCGTTGAATTTTCATCGATGTTAAGCCTAACAAAGACTATTGTATCGTTAAAAATTATTTTTTTATTTTGTACAAACAAAATAAATATATTGAAACATATATAAACAATAAAAAATTATACTTCAGATGTTAATTTAGTATCAAAAACGTATAATATTTGAGTAACCCAAGACACAGCCAAAGATTGAAGCGCCACAGCACTGGCGAAAATTTAAATTTGCCGATTTGAATTCTTTCGGATGATTGACGTTTCGGATGATTGACTTTCGGAAAATCGACGCTCTACTGTATTTCTATGAGAAAGTAGAGATTGAAGAATTGAGAAAAGCTTCAAATTGAGCTTGACATTGTGATGCTGTTTCTGCAGCCCTTGATAAAGTCACTCTTATTCAATGTTGCTCAAGTCGGCGTTTACGGTCTTCAGGAGTCTCGATTGTTCTTATTCTTTTAGATCTAGAATTTACCTGACCAATTTTACTCTTACATTTTCCTTTAGGCAATTTTTTTCAACATAATAGTGAGTCTTCTTAATTTCTCATTGATAAAACAAAGATGAATTGTACATACTGTATAGTACATTAGTTAGATGAGCAATAACACTTTCTAAATAACAGGCTTGTTAGATCATTACTTCCAATTGGATAATAGAATGGCACGTGGTCACTATGGAAATATTTTTAAAAGAAAATTTATATATACAAATTAAAAACAATGGAATTGGTAATAAACTTCTTAAATATACATAAACTCTAAAAATAAAATATTTCCAAAATATTAATGAGTAATAAACTCTTTATACCCGGACTTTGAGTGATTTATCAAGGCAAACACACCAAATAGCAAAACGAATACTAAACCTTTATTTTAGCTTTTTTTAAAAATTCCATTTTCAACGAATCCATATGCATTTCGCCTTTTTTAACAGGCCTCATCAGTGGATAGATAATTGCCAACTATTGTTCCTTTTATACCAGACTATATTGTCCCAGCAAGCATTTACAATCATACCTGTATTTAAATTAATTACATTTGCATAATTTTTAATACAGAAATGTTCAATAATTCTTCTTTTTAACAAATTTTTAGATTTATACAATATTTTAACATCGTTTCTATTAATTTTACAATTAAAACTATTACAATGTTGGTATCATGGTGATTCTTGTCTTTTCAAATAGATTGCAGCCTTGTGTTCTTTTAACCTTTTATCCAATCTTCTTAATGTTTCTCTTATGTATCCACTGACAAGGTCTGTTTAAAAGGATGAAATGCATATGGATTCATTGAAAATGGAATTTTTAAAAAAAGCTAAAATAAAGGTTTAGTATTCATTTGCTATTTGGTGTATTTGTCTTGATAAATCACTCAAAGTCAGATATAAAGAGTTTATTACTCATTAATATTTTGAAAATATTTTATTTTTAGAGTTTATATATATTTAAAAGAAAATTGTTATAGAAGTGACACAATGCAGCCATTAATTTTTAATTTAATGAAGTAAGTTTAAATATGCCATTTGCCAAAATATTTCAAAATGCAACTTAAGGGAAATTTCCTCATCAAGCATGAATGTCACATGGTAACTGAAGTCAATGCAATGTAAGTGCAATCACCGATCCAAAATCCATAAAATGTTTATTCTATAGCTAATATTTCCACAAAATAAGTAGCCTGTACTTTCTGTCAAAACATAAAACAAATATAAGCAAAATTTCTTCTGGATTGGACAAAAATTGCAGGAGTTATAAGAAATTCATATACACAAACAATGGCTATTATATTAGTAATGGACTTTCAGTTTTAACAGATTTAACAGATACCCCTTGCCTGAATTAGTCTGTTAAATCAAGGTTTTACTGTAATGCCTTTTTGTTTCTGCAAATTACTAATTGTACATTTTTTGCATTGCAAATGACACTGTTATCTAATGACAATTCCTCCAGTTTAGCACTATACTTGATTTAGTGCAAAGTGCAGAGGTAGACAAAACAGTGATGTTAAATCAAAGTTTGATCGTATTTTATGAATTAATTTAAGAAATCCTTATATAAATTCTAGAATATTTCAGTTTCTTTTGACACATTATGCTACTTGTAAAAATAAAAGCAATTACCAAGTTGACAAATAAGATGTACTGTACGAGAACCCTGATGTTGAACAGGATCTAACTGGATTTTGAATCTCTGATCTAATCGTGCAATTTCTCCCTGTAAGACATTTGATATTTCCGAATTGTCTTCTTCGTGCTTTCTCTTCTTTGACAAAGGACTTGGTATCCTGAAAACATGAAAAATCATACTTGTAAAATAAATTTAACATAAATATAAAATGTAATAAATCTAATAGAACTTTTTATTATTTTTTTTCTACATAAAAAATTTTACTTAGAATTTAATGTAAAAGAGTAATTAAATATTAAATTGCTAAATACATGTATTATGAAAGAAGGGATATGTAAAAGAATTCCATAAATGTTTGTAAAATTCCTTGGCTTCATAAATAAATGTCAGAGATTATAAAACTTAATAAACAAAAATATTAACTGTTTCAGACATTTTCAGTTTCATTACCAATTTATAAGAAAATGAAATCTTTATAGAAATGCCAAAACATTTTCTTTTGAAAAACATTGTTATATGATCTACTAAAAACTTCAATAAATTTTGTTATAAAAAGAAAAATTTATATAACAAGAATTAGGCTATATTAAACAACATTAGCAAATTCATTATATTTCATTTTATATTAAATATTAAGATGTAGATATGTAATAATTATATTAACTGAAGACTAATATATCTGTGCTAACAATTTATTACGAACAATTTTTTTATATTATGCATTACATTTTTGGCATAATGTAATTCTGAAGGTCACTACGAAGTGCTGTAAAAAAAGTTTGCTTAAAATGCTGCTTTTAAGAAAGATATTCACTGCGTTGACCAAGGACTATCTAAATGTAATTATTTCTCAAAAAACTAAATGTTAAGATTTCAGAATAATTAAAAAGAGGACCATCTACAACCACTATTTTTTTAATTTTAATTTAATTTAATGTTTACTGATTTAAATTATTTCTTACAATGGGGGAACAATTTGGTTATATAATGTTATTTAATACACATAGTAATAAATTATCGCAAAAATTCTAAAGATTTAGAGAAGGAGAAAATCTTAAATAAAGTAATTTTTGACATCATTTTTCAAATGATTATATTTGAAATCTTATTCTAGTACAAAACATTTTAGTTGATACATCACTAGACAAGAACCAAACAAGTGAATTAAGAGATTCTCTTCCTCTTTACTTTCACAATAACTACAAAACTATTTTTTTATATTTATCTGGTAGCCCTTTAACAGAACCAAAAATTTATAAAGTCTAAGTAGTATAATGAGGCTTTCTGTGGAAAAATTAGTCTCACAGTTTAAGTAGTTTTCTGTACACCAATCCAAACACACTTCAAACAAATTAACTTGTTTAGCTGAAGTAGATGATATATCTTGAATCCACAGCTGGTCTGACCTAGTTTGAATTATAGCATTTAAGCGAGTTCTCAACAATTGCAGTAAATTGTTAATAAATAATATAAACAACAGGGGGCCTAAAGGTTCCCTGAGGCACCACCAGAAATGGACACCCTTAGTATTTGCCAGATTGCCTCTCGTGATACCTTGTGTTACAAAATAAATTTTTAAGTAGCTTACTGAATGAAGTTGAAACTCCTAATAAATGTAACTTTTCCCATAAAATATTAAAATTAATTCTATCGGAAGCTTTTTCCAAATCCACAAATATTGAATAGACTTTACGTCTTTTTCTTGACAGGAAATACTGTATTAAACCATTAAGTATAAAGACGTTGTACATAGTATCTCTTCCTCTAACAAAAGCTCCTTGAAACTGGGAAATAACTTTAAATTCTATTATCCATTGATTCAACCGATCTGCCAAAATTCCAGCGAACAATTTTCTAAAGGTATTTAACAATGCTATTGGATGATAATTTTCAAGATTTAGTTTGTCTCCTTTCTTGTAAATCATTTGCAACAACACATTTTTCCAATGCTCAGGAAATTATGTTTCCTTAACCTTGTTAAAGAGTTTAGAGTTTGAGTAATTCTAAACACATTTCATCAGGTATGTATATAATAAATTCATTTTTTATATTGTCCATAGCAGGGGCTGATTTTCTTTTAAGTTTGCAAATTGAAGTTTTTAACTCAGAGAATGAAATTGGATCATCTAAAATAGAAGAGATATTATCACAGTCAAAACCACGAATTGAATCAGAACTTGGATGCAAAAGTTATATTCTAAAAAATGTTCCCAGTCATGAGGAGGGATTTGATTATCAGATTTCTTTCTCCTATTAAATCTATTAATAGACCAAAATTGTATAGAAGATGATGCAGACTGCAACTGTCTACTACTTGACCAGTAATTCTTTTTAGTCTTGCATAATGATCAAAAGATTGCTTTAAATCACAATATTTTATTAAATCCTCATTACTACGGGATATTTGAAGTTTCCTCAGCGTCCTGTTCTTTAGTTTCTTTGCTGTTCTACAGTCTCTGTCAAACCAAACTAAAGACAGTAATTTTGTCATTCTCAGGTATGTTGTCATTCTACATTGTTCAGCTGATAACTTAATCAAATCAGAATTGCAGAATATCTACCCTCTATTCCACCACTTAAGACAATATTTACGTATTTAGCCAAAACTGTTTCAGAAATATAAACCAGATTTGTCTTCTTTCCAGATTAGTTCTTTTTTCTTGTCACTCAAGTTAGCTTTTCTATCCTCGTCAGTGTCTATCAGGATTTCAGAAATTACCAAATGATGGTCAAATATATAATCTTCAGAAATAAAAAATTTATGCAATCTCTCTACCAGACTCTCGCTCAAAATCACTAAATCGATTACTGAAGCACCCAGGTTGGACGTGTAAGTAAAGTCTGCTGATGATTCAAAAGGGTATCGACCATTTATTATGTGTAAATTATAAGATTTCACTAGTTCAATAAGTAAATTTCCTCATTTATTTCAAATNAACCATTTATTATTTAACGGCCATAAAAATTATATTTATATTAATAATGTCTCCAAAGTTCAGTAATTTTTTTGCAGAAAAATAACTTATCAGGAAACACGTGCCCGCCGTTCGATGAGCCGCTCCATGACGAAAACAAGCTTAAGTAACGGTGTCTTCGAATGGTGCGCACTCAGTAAGTAATCTACAATTTGTTGTTTATAGCATAGTTTATATGGATTATTTCCAAAAAATTATACGTGATTTAGAAATGTTGAGTCAAATTAATCTAGAATCGATTAATTTTATGAAAGAAAACCTTTCAAACTACCATAGTCCGTAAACTGCACACGTGCTGGGCTGTGATTGGCTCATGTATTTAAGTGACTCATACAACACGGAATTTATATAATACGGAACGTATCTACCGTGTTATAGGGGGTCTACTGTACTTTCTTTATTCCATTTTTGACTTGTTCTGCCCCACAGGCATTAAATGGGTCTTTTTCTCCCTACCCATCAGAGGTTCAGTCAAATCCAAAATGAGAATGACTAGGTGGGGAGGGACAAAATCTAAACAGAAGGGACAGACCACCTCCAAAAAATTTCAAAAATTTTTCATCCCCGATTCAATTCTGAGTCCTTCAAGTAGTAGGTTAATGTATTAACAGCCTCAGCCATTGAGCTGCTTATGATTATAGCTAAATCAATAATATCTTAAAGTATGTTTAGATATACATCCATAAATTATTTACAATAGATATAATATGTGTTTGTTGATTAAAAATTTATATATACTTATATAAGATGATTCAAAACTTAGTAAATTCAATTAACTTTCTTATAACCTGCTTAACTGATTTTTGAACCATTCTAAATAACAATGATCATAAAATTAACAAAGTTGTCATTTAATTTTTTATGGTATGACGTATCATTTCTGTGTATGCAGACTAAGAAGCTCTTCAGAAGTTATTTCAGTAATTTTACAATAACTGAATTTATAATATAAAGTAACTTAAATCTTAAAATACTTACACAGTTCGTGGACCATTTAATGCTGCAACAGCAGGTCCAAAAGTCCTTTGCAGTGTGTGATTAAATAATGGAGATTTAATGTGATAATTTATAGCGTCGATTAACGGTTGGCAAATATTCTGCTCTGGTGGCTTAGACGGTCCCACAATAGACTGATTACTGGTGGCGGCAGATGATTCTGACTGAAATAGATCACCATCAAATAAAAATTCCTATAACCACATGCTGTACTAATTCTAAATTATTTACCGCCGTTACTTTAAATTCCAGTCTCTCTAAAACTTGCTCACACTTCAGTAAAATGTCCATTGAACATCTGAAATTATAAAAAACAAAATAATTGTTAATACATGAGTAAATGTTCCATATTTGATTAAATTTTTATGTATAATTGGAAAAAGCAACAGGTATTTGCATTCTTAAACTCTAAATTCATAATTTTTATATTTATATTTTACATTTTTATGGATAATGCTTTTCATTATAGGAAAGTTTTATATGTTATTATTTACAAAAAATTTACATTAGGTAAAAAAAATCATATTTATATACAGAATAATTAACTATATTTAGTTTAAACTTAATAATAATAATAATAATAATAAATTGCAATTTACATAAATCATAATAATAAACAATTTGTTTAAAAGATAAATAATATTAAACTGAAATAATTAAAAAGCTCTTTTGCTCAAATATAACTTGATCTTCTTCAGTTGATGCTGTTTCCAAATGAATCAAATTGAAAATTCAAATGCTTAGGTTCAGACAATTAAAATGTTCTTCATGACAGTGCTTTTAATTAATTACTTTATTTCAATATTGTTTATCCTTTAAAAGAATTGTTTACTATCCTGGATTATATAAACTGTGTTTTTTGTGTTGATTCTCTGCAAGATGAAGTTAATTTAGTATTTACTAATTATAATCTTCATTTACCTAATTTTAAGATAAAATGCTTTTCTAAAACAAAAATGAAATAAATGAGAAGTTTTATAAATAATATTGCTAGTGTTTTATTTATAGTTATAAATTTATATGCTTGAAAAATATTTAAGTAATTTATAAATAATTATAATGTATTCTAGAATTTATTAAAATAATATATGCAAATTTGTTCAAACAAATATTACCAAATATGTAATTTGTCAATTACAATAAACAGAACAGTATCCAGATGGCCAAAGTATTAAGGACACCATCCTACCAATCCAAAGAATCTAGTCATATACAAAGATTATTCTCTATATAATCAGGTCAAATCACAAAGTTGTGTATATATATCACATCCTCACTACTTAAGTCACCCAGTGCAAGCCTATACAAATCCAAGATAATTATTCCTTTTGCATAAACATCTTATTACTCAAAACAAAGTTTTAAAATATAAAATTTATTTTCTTTAATTGGGCTGCAATTTGAAAAAATTGTAGACCTATAAATTCCTACTGTCGTCTGTCCATCCATCTTTCCTTAATCTCAAGAACAAAGTTAGATAGATTAAAGACGAGATCAAATATGGAAACTTAAGGAACAAGAGGCCCTAATTAACTATATATGAACTTCCAATACAAACAGGAAGTCATGTTATTTCTATTCAAAAATTTTCCCCTGAAAGGTGTTAGACCAAGGGTTGCCAAACTTTTTGGAATACTTTATCACATGAACACTGATATTTCTGACTTATAAATAATATCTTTCCTTTTCATATAATCTAACATGGCATTTTATGTTAGATTATTTTCTATGACAGTTATTGAATATTAGATGATTGTGTTAGTTTTTTTCTTATTGATAAGCATCATTATGGTTTTTAGAATTCCTAATTTTAGAAAATTAATCTGCAATTTAGAAATTCTGAAACATTTTTAACTGAGCATCACATATCAAAAGTAACAAGAAACACTTTTTCCCCTCATTCACTTTAATTAATATAAGTAAACTCTATTCATACAATATAAAAAAATATTCATAATTCCTTGCATTTCCAGAAATAGGAGCATTTACATTCACCAAAATTTAATAATAATTAAAAAATAATAATTGAATATGTTAGAAACCTCTCTTCTTAAATGAGAATTGAAGTGTCTCATAAATGTTACAATTTTATATTGAAAAATTGAATTACCTTTTATTAGGATCAGAAAGAATATCCAATAAATGCTTCATCTTGCTTAATTCTTTTTTACGTTCTAAAATAGTTTCATAATCAGAGTTTTTATTTTTAGTTAAGATAAGCATAATAATAAATCTTTAAACATATATTAATAATTAAATAAAATATTTTAAAAATATCTATTATAATATCAAAAGATCTTTAATTTGTTAAAAAGCATATACAGTAGAACCTCGCATAACGAGTGTTTCACATAACAAGCAAAACAAATTGTAAAAAATTGCCTTGCTTAACTAGCGATGTTTCGCATAATGAGTGACAAATAGAGGGAAAGTCTCAAATTGTGCGCATGCTCCAGCAATCTGTGTTCAGCATGCATTCCTCTAGCATCTTAGTGTCTCATGTGATCACACATTTTTCCAAACTTGTGATCACACAAATTACTTTTAAACATCAACAACCATAGCCCGTTATATAATAAACACGCCAAATGGTATACCAAATTCTTGGGCTATGTACAGGCTATAATTAATTATTAAGAATTAATTAATTTGACTATAGGTAGACAGTTATGCTGCCATCTCATATTAAATTTAATGACCAATTCCAAATNGCTATATTAAACAACATTAGCAAATTCATTATATTTCATTTTATATTAAATATTAAGATGTAGATATGTAATAATTATATTAACTGAAGACTAATATATCTGTGCTAACAATTTATTACGAACAATTTTTTTATATTATGCATTACATTTTTGGCATAATGTAATTCTGAAGGTCACTACGAAGTGCTGTAAAAAAAGTTTGCTTAAAATGCTGCTTTTAAGAAAGATATTCACTGCGTTGACCAAGGACTATCTAAATGTAATTATTTCTCAAAAAACTAAATGTTAAGATTTCAGAATAATTAAAAAGAGGACCATCTACAACCACTATTTTTTTAATTTTAATTTAATTTAATGTTTACTGATTTAAATTATTTCTTACAATGGGGGAACAATTTGGTTATATAATGTTATTTAATACACATAGTAATAAATTATCGCAAAAATTCTAAAGATTTAGAGAAGGAGAAAATCTTAAATAAAGTAATTTTTGACATCATTTTTCAAATGATTATATTTGAAATCTTATTCTAGTACAAAACATTTTAGTTGATACATCACTAGACAAGAACCAAACAAGTGAATTAAGAGATTCTCTTCCTCTTTACTTTCACAATAACTACAAAACTATTTTTTTATATTTATCTGGTAGCCCTTTAACAGAACCAAAAATTTATAAAGTCTAAGTAGTATAATGAGGCTTTCTGTGGAAAAATTAGTCTCACAGTTTAAGTAGTTTTCTGTACACCAATCCAAACACACTTCAAACAAATTAACTTGTTTAGCTGAAGTAGATGATATATCTTGAATCCACAGCTGGTCTGACCTAGTTTGAATTATAGCATTTAAGCGAGTTCTCAACAATTGCAGTAAATTGTTAATAAATAATATAAACAACAGGGGGCCTAAAGGTTCCCTGAGGCACCACCAGAAATGGACACCCTTAGTATTTGCCAGATTGCCTCTCGTGATACCTTGTGTTACAAAATAAATTTTTAAGTAGCTTACTGAATGAAGTTGAAACTCCTAATAAATGTAACTTTTCCCATAAAATATTAAAATTGATTCTATCGGAAGCTTTTTCCAAATCCACAAATATTGAATAGACTTTACGTCTTTTTCTTGACAGGAAATACTGTATTAAACCATTAAGTATAAAGACGTTGTACATAGTATCTCTTCCTCTAACAAAAGCTCCTTGAAACTGGGAAATAACTTTAAATTCTATTATCCATTGATTCAACCGATCTGCCAAAATTCCAGCGAACAATTTTCTAAAGGTATTTAACAATGCTATTGGATGATAATTTTCAAGATTTAGTTTGTCTCCTTTCTTGTAAATCATTTGCAACAACACATTTTTCCAATGCTCAGGAAATTATGTTTCCTTAACCTTGTTAAAGAGTTTAGAGTTTGAGTAATTCTAAACACATTTCATCAGGTATGTATATAATAAATTCATTTTTTATATTGTCCATAGCAGGGGCTGATTTTCTTTTAAGTTTGCAAATTGAAGTTTTTAACTCAGAGAATGAAATTGGATCATCTAAAATAGAAGAGATATTATCACAGTCAAAACCACGAATTGAATCAGAACTTGGATGCAAAAGTTATATTCTAAAAAATGTTCCCAGTCATGAGGAGGGATTTGATTATCAGATTTCTTTCTCCTATTAAATCTATTAATAGACCAAAATTGTATAGAAGATGATGCAGACTGCAACTGTCTACTACTTGACCAGTAATTCTTTTTAGTCTTGCATAATGATCAAAAGATTGCTTTAAATCACAATATTTTATTAAATCCTCATTACTACGGGATATTTGAAGTTTCCTCAGCGTCCTGTTCTTTAGTTTCTTTGCTGTTCTACAGTCTCTGTCAAACCAAACTAAAGACAGTAATTTTGTCATTCTCAGGTATGTTGTCATTCTACATTGTTCAGCTGATAACTTAATCAAATCAGAATTGCAGAATATCTACCCTCTATTCCACCACTTAAGACAATATTTACGTATTTAGCCAAAACTGTTTCAGAAATATAAACCAGATTTGTCTTCTTTCCAGATTAGTTCTTTTTTCTTGTCACTCAAGTTAGCTTTTCTATCCTCGTCAGTGTCTATCAGGATTTCAGAAATTACCAAATGATGGTCAAATATATAATCTTCAGAAATAAAAAATTTATGCAATCTCTCTACCAGACTCTCGCTCAAAATCACTAAATCGATTACTGAAGCACCCAGGTTGGACGTGTAAGTAAAGTCTGCTGATGATTCAAAAGGGTATCGACCATTTATTATGTGTAAATTATAAGATTTCACTAGTTCAATAAGTAAATTTCCTCATTTATTTCAAATTTTATCATTTGACAATCAGATGTTTGTGTGACTGGAGGGTCAGCACCTCTTTAGTGCCTTGTCAGGACTGACACCACTGTGCCTTGTTTGACATGGAAGCCGAGACAGCGTGTTGATTCGGATTCAACATAGATCACGCGAGCGGCCGCATGCACGGGTGATCGGATTCAGAATGGAAATGGATTGAGAGACAGTGCACCGGAAGTACTGCACTCAGACTCTAGATTTAATAACAAATAACCATTTAATAATTTAAAAAAAGGGTTACAGGATACGTATCATAATGTTAGATTAACCAACCTATTTAACGAAGTGGTCGCGAGAGAGAGAGAGAGTTTACATGAGATTCGCGTGGTGATAAATACCTTTTGTAGCCGACGTCCCATTTAGTCTCATTTAAAATTGTTGGTAAAAGGTTGAGTATCCAATAGTTCATATTTAAAGGCTTTAGTAATAAAATGTCCAAGGGCGAGTTGATGAGTAGATAGAATATACCATCGGGTAGGTTTGTGCCCTAACACAATAAAAATTGGAGAAAGTTGGGTGCTGACTTTACTCCAAAAGGAACACGCAACGACTCACTCTTTGGCCAACAACATTGATATCAGTTCGATATTGCCTGGCCAAAAGGTCAGAAGATCATGGGAATGCATTGATTTTGTTGTTGGGAAAGTGTAAGTGGAGATTTTCTCAGGTAGCTGAGAAAACAATTATGCAAGTATGGGGTCATTGACAATTAATTTTTTTGTAAAGTTCGGATTCTCACATTTGAAATTGCATCCCCACAATAAATAGTGTCCATAATCAAGCCAATTCGCACATTAAAATTACCCATCAGCAGAAGATCATAATCTAAAATATAATCAGAAATCAAATCTTCCAAATTTGCAATTAAAGTTTCAAAGATAGGAATATGAAGATATGCCAATATAACTACCATTTCTCATAATCCTTTATTTTGCCTCCGGTTAAATTTCACTCTAACAACCATTATATGTTGCCATGACAGCAGCAAGTTTACTTCCCTGAGTCTTCTTTTATAACTAAAAGTAATCTGCCCAAAGGTCTACCCCTTCCTAAACTTTTAGTAGCCATTACCTCAAAACTTTTAATCTACAATTAATGCTTTTAACTCTTGAACACAGTGGAGCTGTAGACCAAGTCTCGGTCAGTCCCAAAATATCAGTTTTAGAAATATGTTTAACAAAACCATTATCATTCAGATTTGTTAAAAGGGTAGCCTGGGAATTCTATGTTGAAACTTTCAATCCAGCTGTACATTTCCTTGGATCAGAAAATGAAGACTGAGAATTTGCCATTCTATTTTCCACTAAAAAATCAAGTTTTAATAATTCTCTTCTATCTAGATTGTAAGTATACATCTCAGTGCCAACCTGCAAAACATCAACCATAGGTCAAACTCTCCTGCCTTCCTGTAAAAAATCATGTAAAAAAGGCAGAAGTGTTTTTCGTCTCAATCTTGAACGCCAACATANTGTTAAATGTAATTTTAGTAATTCCTGATGATATATTGTCAATTCCTATCATCAGGTATTAAATTATTAAAATCAGAAAAAATTAACAGTTGAAAAAACCAATATCAACTGATGGATTTCATTATAAATATTAAAATTTCATCATCTGAAATCCATCAGTCTTGGATCAGAAAATGAAGACTGAGAATTTGCCATTCTATTTTCCACTAAAAAATCAAGTTTTAATAATTCTCTTCTATCTAGATTGTAAGTATACATCTCAGTGCCAACCTGCAAAACATCAACCATAGGTCAAACTCTCCTGCCTTCCTGTAAAAAATCATGTAAAAAAGGCAGAAGTGTTTTTCGTCTCAATCTTGAACGCCAACATAAATTATCAAAAGCTTGTATATTCTTCAATGCATCATTAGCGTTTATCTTTCTAACATTACCAAAAATTAATTTCTTGTCTGCAAATGACTAATTCCACCAATACAGTATCTGATCGGTTAAATTTCACTACTTAACTGTTGGAATTGATATTGATTCACCTCTCAGTTTAGAAAACAGGTTTTGCACTTTCCTATTCAAATTGAAACTGTCATCAGTCAAACCTTTAATTAACATATTTTTTCTTTCTCATTTCATTTGACACCTTGTATATAGAATGCAAGATCAAACTATTTTTCCACTGCATGTCATCTTTATTTAAGTTTGGAAAATTTCTTCTAATTTAACCTCCAACTGGGTTAATCGTTGGTCATGTTCATTATGTAAATTAACCAACCAGTCAATCCTCGTAACAACCTCATTTAGAGTCGAAAAAAGCTTATCAAATCGGTTGTCCAAATATGAAATAATCTCCTTAGGAATAGATTTACTTAGGTCTATCTTTGAAGAGAAAAAAAATCCTCCAATCTCGCCAACATCAAGGAAGGTTCACTCAGAGAACAACGTCATTTTACAGTAGATGCTGATGATTGAATCTGTGAATTTGGTGAAGTATGATCAACAGAACCAGGATTTAATTCTACCCCACTTAATATTAACAACAACTCAAACACCATTATCCAAAATTAATATTTTGGATCTCAATATTTTCCATAATTTTAAAATTCAAAAAAGCTCACAAAAAAGCTTACCAACACTATTCGCAGCGAGCAGCACCCCCTCCACTAATTTTAATAATTTAATAATTTATAAAATTTCTACTACTAATTTATAAACTTCTCAATACAAAGGAGTTTGGATTGAGACAAATAAATTTCTTGAAAATTTATTTGGAAAAAATTTATTTTATATCTTTAATAAAATTTTATTTTTATAAA